CTAGATCTAAATCTTTTAAACTAATATGTAAATATTTAAAAAGTAACTAAGTCTTTTATAATATTTTAATAAAAGAGTGCCACCTGCGCCCCTAGTTGTGATTACAACAGGAATACTCAAAAAAAAAAAAAAAAAGTGCTTGAAAGACCAATACAAAAACTAAAGCCCAACCCGAAGCTAAAGCCCAACCCAATACTAAAAACCAACTCAATACTAAGGTATTATTGAATGCTATGTGCATATATATATCATTGAAATTTTAACCAAAAAAAAAAAAAATTTAGAACAATGTGTTTGCAAGACCAACCCGAAACTAGTAACCAACCCAAAAATAATGACCAACCCAAAAATAATGACCAACCTGAAACTAGTGACCAACCTGAAACTAGTGACCAACCCGAAACTAGTGATCAACCTGAAACTAGTGACCAACCTGAATGTTTATTACTATACCAAAGTATTTATGAAGAATCGTATGATGATTTATATGAAGATAGTTGTGGATATTATGAGCCAGAAGATAGTTGTAGAGAGGATGAGCCAGAAGATAGCATATTGAGAGAAATTTATAGTGGACAAATGTTTGTATCATTTGAAGTACTTGAACAATGTTTAAAATGATATGCTATTCAAATAGGCTTTAAAATAAGAACTGTAAGGGTAGAAAAGGGTGAGAGTAATTGGGCAAGGAAGATGTATAAGTGCCATCATGGTAGAAAATATGTACCAAAAAAAAAGGTGGATCCTACACAAAATAGAGACTGAGAATCAGTCCGTATTGATTGTGGATTTATAGTAAATGCTTCATATCATAAATCTGAGAACCTAATATTTGTTAACAAATTTGTTAATGAACATAACCATCCATTACAAAACCGGAATTCTCTTCAAGAATTCTTACTAGCATTACGTAGGATACCAGACGATATAATGAATGAAATCAAATTTTATATACAAGAGTGTCAATTAGGGCTACTGTTTTAAAAAAGATATTAAGAAAAAAGTATCCAGATCAGGACATTTACCACCAAGATCTTTATAATGCGATACATAAATTTAAAGCTGGTTCTCAAGTTAAAAATGACACTGCGACACTTCTAGAACATTTAATTAAATTACATTCGGAGGATCCTGAATATTATTTCAAAGTTGAATTTGAGGGTATTGATAATAGACTATTCAAAATTTTTTGGATATCGCCTGAGCAGAAGCAAATGTGGATTTGATACCATAACGTTGTTATAAATGATAACACCTGTAAAACCAACAAATATTTAATGCCCTTAAATATTTTTGTAATAATTGATTCAGA